AAGAATAGTTGAGTAAACATCTGTTTACTTAAAGATGAAAGATGAGGGGGGAGGGGAAACCCCAGGCCCATATTGATTCTCTTTGGTACAAGAGATGACACACCCTTTGGGGGAGGGAGGAAACAGGGTCATGATTGGGGCAGTAAATTACGTGGGGTCAGGGCTGGCTTCACTTGGGTACGTGCTGACATGAAGCTCCTAATGAATGATTGGATTTCTTTTGAAGCTTGGCTCGAGGCTCATGATTTAATTAGAGCATCTGTCAGAACCGTGAAAATAACTTTCACAGTTCCTGTAGTTTTTGTGGGCTCTGCTTCCTGCCCTGGTCTATCTTCAGGGATGACAAGAATGGAGTTAGTAGCAGAAATGCAATGGTTACCATACTCTATCTGAAAAGATGATGTCTGGAATATCAAGGCAAGGTAAGAGGAAAGAGCTCTCTGTTGAAAAGAAAAAACAACACGTGAAAGAAGATGCTGATCTGTGAAAAAAAAAGATGGGTTTGATTAAAAATGGACAGACTGGCAAGAAGTGGTTGGCGCTACCTCTTACAACAAGGGTTCCCAACTGGGGGTGCGAGATGATATTCCAGGGGGTTCAAAAACTTGAGCTTAGAAGTTTCAAAGTTATAGTGTCTATGCATGATTATATGCATATTATTTTTCTAAGGGGTGCGAGAATATATCAGAAACATTCTAAGGGTGCAGGGTATAGAAAAGGTTGGGAACCCATGTCTTATGAGAAACCACAGATGCCACGAAGGAAAGATAGGCAGCCTTCTGAGGGTCATTAGTAGTCAAGAACGTGACGTGATCAAAATCAGAATAGAGTTGGAAGGGACTATGGAGGTTTTCTAGTCCAGCCGCCTGCTCAAACAGGAGATCCTATACTATTTCAGAATTAAGAAGAGACTGTCTGGTCTTTTTTCTGACCCAATGACAATAGGGTCAGAAGGTAAAGTAGGACTATAACCTTTTAAGGTGTTTTGCAATTTGGAATTATATTAAATCAAATGGAAGACATACCACTCCCATTTTGGCCATTTGGCACCCAACTGAGATTGCATTCACACAGTCCCTGGGGTTCTCAAGGCCAAAGACAAGGGATTCAGGAGCTGCATTGAGATCCTGGTGACCACTTCTGCTAAACGGGAACCTTGCCTTTCACACATGATGGAATCGCTGCTTATTAAGGCCATGAGTCAGCACCACTGGAAGTAGGCATTTTTTAAGCTTTTTTTTTTTTT